GAGGGAAAATCTATGCACGTAGATCGATGAGGGAAAACAGAAAAGAAAAAAGGAAAAGAAATTCATTTCGTACAGTGACGTTTTTTGCACGATCGGAGATCGATCTGTGGTCCGATCGAGGTGAAATTTTGACAGCGTGTTCGTAACACGAGGGTCTTAAATCTGGACGGTGGAGATTTCTTTTGGAGCTGCCTACAATCAGATACAGTGGGTAGTTGGTGCCACTTTCTAAGTGAGATCTTTATAATTTTCTTCCACAGTTTATTCCCTTTGTTTGCCAAGATTTATTGTCTCGAGATATTATTATTGTATGCCTCTAGTTGTTGCTAGGGAGAACTTGGTGTACCCATTATTGATTATAGTGGATATTTTGACTTCGGTCCGTGGTTTTTGACTCCTCACATTGAGGGAGTTTTTCCACGTTAAAATTGTTTGTGTCCTGTGCTTGTTTGAATTATTGTTCTTACTTGCTATTTCCTACTAGGTTCACACAAGAGGTGATAATTGATTAAAAAATTTAAGTGTTTATCCCAACAAGAGGGAGAAGAGAATAAAATATATATGTCAATGCTACATCTCTTTCCATGAACAATATTATATTTTTAATATTACACCTAGTTTCACCTTTAAACTATTGGTGGTTGTTGCAATTAAATTGCAATGACACTCTCCTACAAAAATTACATCCCTAACTAATTTGAGAACACATAGAGCTACGCTCACGCCTCAATCTTAACTTATTTAATTGTCAAAATTATGACATAGTTATCATTGTTAGGTTAAGTTTGGGCCAACACCTTCTATGATCTCTAACCTGACTTATCTCTATCCCATGGACAACGGTACCTCAATTATCTCTATAATAGTATGATATTATTCGCTTTTGACGTAACCCTCACAACTTTGGTTTTAGTTTCACTCAAAAGGTCTAGTCTAATAGATAGGGGTGTTCAAAAAACCCAGTGACTCGAGCAACCCGATCAACCCAGCTCAAACCATAGGGGTTGGGTTGGATTGAATTTCTTTAAAACCAAAAATTTGGTTTGGTTCACGGATTGGAAGATTTTTTCGGTTCAACCCGAACCAAACCACCATTAAGTTAAAATATATATATATATATATATATATATATATATATTAATAATTAGGGTTTCTTTTTTTTTATTAGCCGCCTCCTCCGTTTCTCTTCTTCTTTCCCTCATCTCTCACCCATCTTCTTCCCCTCTCTCGTTCTCACTCCCTCCCTCGTCTCGCTTCCATCATCTCCACTCATCTTCTTCCTTTCTCTCCCTCGCCACTTTAGACTCCAGTCATTGTTCTGATCGAAGAGGTTCAAGCCAAGCGAGAAAGTCGTCATACACGACGCAATCGACATGGGGTTGGAAGTTGCCTTAGGGTTTAGGATCTAAATTGGCAGAGGGAATCAAGGTAGATCTGATAGTTTCTCCACGTCGTGGCCATTGGAGATGGCATCGTTAGGTCGTCTTCTCTCACTTCCTCCTCTCTGGTCTCCCATCTCTGCACGAAATTTCTTAGCAACCCAAGAACCCAACCTAACCCGACCCAAAAATATAAAGGCTGGGTTGGGTTGCGGATTATGTTCTAGTCTTTCGGGTAACAAATTTGATCAACCTGAATTTTCGAGTTGGTCCCTAAAACCTCTCTAACTCGACTCAACCCAACCTCTGAATACCTCCACTAAAAGAAATAATTGTCATCTCTTATATATCATGGATTATTCTTTTGACAATGTGAGACTTTGTTTTATTCCCCTTACAAACCCAACATTACTCAAGGTTATGGGCATTTTAGACCGACTACAATACTAGGACAATAATAAAGTCGTGAGCGATAGCATTTTATATTCTTCCGAATTTTGAAAATTCTATTTCGAGAAAATTGAAATTCCACATCTATAATCTATCTATAATATATCTAAATGGGGCTATGGAGGAGAATCTTTGTCTCCCCATTTTGCCCCTAACTTTTGAATATATACCTATTTTGCCCCTCAAATTTCTACAAGAGACATGACTGTTCGAGTTAAAGTGTCTGTTGAGATAACAAATCCAAAAAGTTGTGACCATTCGATGAAACAAAGAGTTTAATCCAAAAGAGTTGTAACTGTTTGAGTGAAAATGTGTGTTTGAGAGAAGTTAATACAATGGAAATTACAACTATTTGATGAAGTGATGCATCTATCCACCTACAGGTGTCATAGCAAATAATCTATAAAATGAAAGATTATGTCTTTTTCTTTTATGACCTAAAACTCATTTCCAAAATATTAATGAAGATTTTTCTTAACTTCGTGAGTGAAAACTGAACCATGTCAAAAGAATATTTGAGATTCCAGAAACATATTTAATCGATTAAGAGGTAGAGTAACAAAATCATGTATTCGTATTATCTTCGACTTTTATTTCTTTTAGATTATTTTAATATTTTTATGTGGATTATTTTTAAGTTATATATTCGTGATACCTTCGTGTTTTAATATTTAGTTAATGTTATTTTCAAGTTTGATTTAATATTTAGTTAAGGTTCTTTTCACGTTTTAAAATATATTCATGTTATATTTTAGTATTAGTTTTCTTATTTATCTTAATATGACTTTTTGATTGTTGTTGTTCTTATTTTATTTTTCTTGGTCATGTGATTCTTTTTTCTACATTTTTTCAATGATTTCATGGCATACATACTATCCAGTTTCTCTCTCAAATTTCAATTTCTTAATTTTGATTCATTCTTCCTTATTACATAAAATACAAAAGTTAAAAGGAGTAAATAATTTAAGAAAACACACAAAAAGATTATTGTTGTTTCCTTAAAAAAAATTTGATAACGAATAATATATTTTACTTGAAACGAAATATTAATACCATTTAAAAGTTCCGTTGAGTTGTTATTCTATATGTTAGATTGGTAGAAATATTATATTAAATATATTTTATTTGAAACAAAATATTAGTGCATTTAAAAATTTTGTTGAGTTGTTATTCTATATGTTAAATGGTTAGAAATATTACATTAAAATGTTTATAACCACGTGCCTTGGACGTGATATTAACTAGTTCCTTGAAATTACTTCAAAATTAGTGAAGATAGTAGGTTATATTTTGTATCGTTGGTTTCGATTATTTTCCTAGTGTTTCTTTTAAGAGACAAACTACCTAGTGATCATAGGGAGTATGTGATTTCTCCAAATATATGCAAATAATTTGCCCATAACTAAACCAACTTATAAAAGTCTCACAACTTGCCAACGACTATATTTAGGAAGCAAACTATATGTCACGTTAAAATAGTTGAGGATTGAAAGACTTTTCAAGGTGTTATAATATCACAAGTCTACAAAATGATTAATCATATAATAAATATATTATATTTTACTATATTAAATTTAATTCCATCTAACGGAAAAAGTAAATATACATTAATTATAAATATAAATTCCAATTAGTGAATAATTATACAATTTTACATTTTACCAAATTGCTTGGAGGAGAATTAACCTCACTTTATTTTTGGAACAAACTCCCAACTATAACAAATTAATTTGTTAAAGTTTGTATTGTCACAATTCTTAATATAATAATATATTAAACAATAAAATTCACCAATTCAAGATTTATTGTAGTGGAATAAGAAAATGAAGATGTCCTTCCTGGTGTTCTTAATTTCTAATTCTCATTTAATCGTTAGGAAGCTCCATTATGGTTAAATGACAAATGATGCAACAAGACCGCCTATGGCAGATTGTAACACTTGGAAGTTTGTTGTTAGCCTCTGCCTCTTTTATTATCTGCAGCAAGTCAAGCAGCCAATGCTGGAGAAACGTAAAGAGCACCAGTAATAGCAACATAATTATTAATTAAAATGCACACAATGAAACAACTCAAAGAAATAGTTTCTAAATGGTTTAGTATTTCACATTAAAATGAGGGAAATTAACACGAGAAAATCACACACAACACACTATAAATTTTCAAATATTTTATAGTCAGAGATTCTCGTCAACATCTTCTCTATTATTTGTTGGAAAATATTTTTAAGAAAATGGAATTTCTAAAATAATAAATACAAACATTTAATTTAATTACATAAGGGACAAGAAAATCTTGTGAATTTTGGATTGAGGAACGTTCCGTAAAAGTTGTCCATAGAGAAATGTGTCACACTGTACTGAGTTATTTGACACTCCACTTCGAAGATATAACAATTCTTCAAGAGACCTTGTGTAGCAGCTAAGTTCTCTTATGAATCGCTAATTGCTGGCCTATGGTTAAAATCATAATAATAAAAAGCAAATTCTTGGTATTTTACGGAAACAACTTTTGGAAAACTATGCTTGAACACACTCAAAAGCATTCTCCCTTAGATCGTAAGATGCTACCTCAAAGCTAGAAGCATCCCCTAATATCAGGGAGTCTAAGTTTAACAAACTAGAGTCACTCAGCTCTTATTTATTAAGAAGAGTTGACCGAACAGGTTAACAGAGTAAATAACATAACAAGATAAAAATAATAAATATAATCTTTAAAATTTCCAATATTTATACTTTTTTTTTTGCTCTTTGAGTTGAACAACAAGAGATTAGAATTCAAACCTCTAATCTTTTAGTCATGAATATGTACTTTAACCAATTATATTATATGTTCACATTTTACCATTCTCTTTACAACGGGTCGGTATTAGGTTCCAACGTTCGCCCCTCTTTTATTTGTGTGAAATAATATGTTAAAAATAAAAAATATATTTAAACCTAGCTAATTATTATCTCGAATACGAATAAGGAATATATGGATGGTTTTTGATGACCATGCCTTGTATCCAACTCCAATATTATTGGACCTGTGGAAATCAAAATATATATCAAACTTAGCCTTGTAATTGTCAGCCATAGCCGGCGCGGCGCTGAAGAGAGAGAGAAAGGGACCTATAAATCTCTGAAGAAGAGCAAGAGCAAGAGCCAAGAGTTGTTTGAAGAATAAGGAAAAATGGGCCGCAGAAGTTTCCTGAAAATGGTAGCATTTGTTTCGTTTCTATTGACAGTTTTTGGAAGTGACCCAGATATCATTTCAGACTTCATTTTCTTACCAGCCCTAAATGGTACCACCAATGTTACTGCCGACTTCTTCGCATTTAAAGGTGCATTATTCCTCCAATTTAATTTTTACCGGTACTTAGATTATGGAAATTTTATCTTTTTCTTTTTTTAGTACAAACATGTAAAGTAGAAGATCAAACTTACAACCTCTTGGACAGAGATATATGTTAATTACCACGCTTTGTCAATTATGGAAAAGTTACCGGTGCCTTAACCGTAAAACTAATACTCATAATCAGGACATCTTTTATTCATTTTCTTGTGATCAATCATGTCTATACTAGCAAAGGAGTCAAGGTCAGATGTGTCGAGTCAAAAGTATATACCATTACGAGAGATTAACACATATATAGGTAAAATAATTAAGAACTTGTTTGATAATGTTATTGTTACCGTTTATTGTTTTTTGTTTTTTGTTTCTTAAATTGAGAAGAATAAACATTTGGTAACTATTAATGTCATTTTTCATTTCTCTTGTTTAAGAAACGTTTCTAAAATTGTTTTGGAAATTTAAGAGCGTTAATTATTCCTCCCATTTTTTTTTAGGAAATCCCATTTAATTTTTAGCTATACGAACTCTTGTATTATCATTTTCTTCCTATTCAATATTAATTTCTACTTGTTAGTTTACTTTATGTAAATTTTCAAACCCACAAGTATATGGAGTATTAGATATATGATTAAATTTACCATAATTCATCGACTTGATGATTTAATTATGTTAAGATTAACCATCAAACTAAGATCATTCATTTACGAGATCATGTCTACGTTAACAAACCGGTCAAGCTCTACGTCTCAGCCAGTTCAAAAATACATATCAAAATTTACCATTAAATCTTTGACAAATAGATAGAAGAAGGAAAGAGAAAAAGAAAAAAAGAGGGGTAAAAAAGTTTAGGAACTAATTTGAAATTTGGAGAATTAAAATAAAATAATCTCACACGGCAATTTATAATGCTATTTTGTTGAAACAATGAAGGGCTGCGTGAAGTGTTCCAAAGCGAGGAGCCACAAAAATTCAAGGCCACGAAGGTGACAGTGGCGGAGTTTCCGGCGCTGCTAGGGCAGAGCGTGTCGGCGGCGGTGCTGGAATATCCGGCCGGCAGCGTGAATCCGCCGCACACCCACCCGCGCTCGGCGGAGCTTCTGTTCGTTTTACAAGGCAGCCTCACCGTGGGCTTCGTGGACACCAAGAATCAGCTCTTCTCTCAATCCCTCCAAGTCGGCGACCTCTTCGTCTTCCCCAAGGGATTGGTCCACTTTCAGTTCAATTCCGACTCCTCCGCCGTCGCCGCCACCGCTGTCTCCGCCTTCGCCAGCGCCAACCCCGGCACCGTCTCCCTCCCGGCCACGGTGTTCGCCGATGGAATTGACGACAATGTCCTCGCCAAGTCCTTCAACACTGACGTCGCTACTATTCAGAAAATCAAGGCCGGTATTGCTGCACCTCATTAGTTAAGTTAATAAATAAAGCCTGCCTCCATCCGAATAATATACTTTTTAAGTCTTTTTATTTTTTTCTCCTTTCTCTCGTTTTATAAAATAATTTGGCTTTTTGCTATGTGTGTGGATTTGGGATATGTATAATTAAGGATCTAAGGTGGAGCTTATTTTGATCCTTTAACATGTCCCCAGTTATTTTGTTCATCGATCTGAGCATTTTGAACTCTATACCATATTAATATTCAGGGGTTCCAATTCAAAACCAATTGGTAATAAAACAGTAGTAGCCCACTTATATTATAGATTTTTGTTAGTTCTGCTATCTTTTAAATGTGAGACCCTTAACAAGAATTTAATGAATAAGTCTTTTAACGACTCTAAAGGACTTCTAAATCTTTCAACCTTAAAACTCCTTTAGCATCTCAGTTCTAACTCTAAACTACATTTCCAGAACATAAGATTTAAACTTTATTATCAATCAATCTATGGCTAGTAGGTTAAAAACATTAACCCAAATAGACATAATCATTCAATCAAAAAGAATTAAACAAATCCATAAAATTCAATAGCTACATCAATCCCTAAATCAGAGGAACGTAGTTCCTCATATTCAATGTAAAGTAATAAAATCTAAAAAAAAGTTTCATAACAAAAGAAGAAAAATGTAAGAAAAAAAAAAAAGTTCCATAATTTTAATATTCATGTGTGGATTGATTGTCCCTGAGCCAATTTCCCACATTCCAAGCCTTGAAATCTATTATTTAAGTTGTTTGATGTTCATGTTCTCTTTATTTTTTAGTTATCTCATACTCTATACCAAAAGTGAGTAAAAGATCATCTCTTACAACGGCTGAAAAACCTAATTTAATTTTATAAAGAAATTTTCTACATATAAAAATAAGCAAAAAAACATCTATGGGGCGCTGCGAGTGAAAAAACTAGCTTCTCCTATTTTGTGTTACAAGCGCCATGGTGCATTTTCTAGCATCTTGTTACTGTTATCTCTGGTATTTAGACTCCTATAAGTGCGTTGTAATGCCTTCCTTACTTGTCCACACTATCATTTTCCTCCAATTTTTTCTTGATGTCCTGCAAAATATATCTTAGGTGCATAAAAGTTTGTCATAAATAAATGAAAACTAACAAATAAATAATTTCTATTAGGATATTAGTTACTTTGTAAATATAGGTTGGTTAAATAGTTAGTTTGTACCAGTTGCTATCTTGTATCTTTACCAACTATATATATGGCTTATTATGAAATCAATAATAAGAGAAGCCAGTTTATTTAATTACGTCTCTTGATCTAATGATTTCAATATAAATCTCATAAAATGTAACTCACATAGTGCGCTATGAATCAATTGCAATGATATAATTGAAAATTGAAAAGTATTAAATCGTAGACAAAACTAAGAGAGGGTAAAAAATATATATTAGCAAAAGCATAAGTTTAATGAAAGGGAGAATTTTGCTGTCTTGAATTAGGGTTAGGGTTTTGGTGATAGTCATAGTAATTTTGGGCATGGCTTGCCACCTGTGTGGATGTTTTGTGACCACCAATTTTGTCTCAATATCTTTCCAATCTCCTTTTCCATGCATCTCAATTACAATCACAAATAACCTACTAATCCAAACAAAAGTATCTAAGAACACAATTTTGGTATGCAAACTCCGAATGTGTTTGTTGTTTTCATATTAACTTAATCAAAACAAAAGTTTATTTTTAATTATATTGAATCATTGTTTTCGAATTCGGTAAAATCAGTGTTCAAAATGTCGATGTCGATGAAAAGTTGAGGTCCCGATTTTACGGACATGTCGATGTCGATGGATATTTCGGGAAAAATAATGGACATTATGGAAATTGATGGAAATTTTTTGAATTAGCAAATAAAACTTGAATTGTAGCTTAATTAGTCTATAATTGATCACCTTTAACCATTAAATGTAAGAATATGACCATTTTACTTATGAAAATGTCGATGTCGCTGGAAATATCGAAAAAAGATTTTTTTTCTTTAATGAAGATTGATGGAAATTATTTGAATATGTAAAGTAAACTTTAATTGTAAAGTTTTGACTACTTCTTTAGTGTTTTTCATAATAGGATTTATTTGAAAATGAGATAATTATCGACTTGGTTTCCAAACACATTTCTAAATTCTAATTAACTCGTACCTGTTTACTTTCTACCTACTTCTCTTTTCAAATTTGAATTTACCTATTTTTCAAACACATTTTCAAATCAATTATCAATTCAACTTTACAATCAAATTTACACAATTTTCAAACACCTCAACCTCGTGATTGTTTCATTTTTCCAAATTATCTACCAATAAGATCCACATGTGCTTCATATTCTACTCATTTGAACAACTACCTTCAAAACTTTTAGTCTAGGATGACCGGGGAGAACTATTGTAATTTATATCAAAGTTATCAAGATAGTGCACTAGATCTTCCGAGATCATTTTTTGGTATTAATTAAGTTACATATTCTACTTCATGTTTCACGACTATTTGTATATAATAATATTTTATTTTTTAAAAATTCTAAGATTATTTCAATCTTTATATATGTCAATATTTCACGTATATTGTTCAATTGTATAAGTAAGGACCAGATTGGATTAGAAATTATCAATAAAGCAAATTCCAAATCTTTATTAGTTATACTTTATACAGTATTAAAGTTCGAATGTTTCATTGAACAGGCTAAGATTACAATCATCAAGGTTGTGAGAAATTATAGACTGTAGCGGCATAGTAAGAAGATAATGAAAATAAAATAACCTTAAAGAAGAAGAGGAAAAAAACATGTTGACATTTGAGTCGACATATTGACATTTTGTCGACATTTCGACATGTCGACAACATGGAGGAAAATCTACTTTTCCCCCCTATGTCGATGTCGACATGCTCTCGACATGTCTCTCGACATTTTGAACCCGGGACAAAATACACTTTTGGTACCTGAGTTTGAAATTAGGTTTCTATTTGATCCTTAAGTTTCAAAAATCTACAGTTTAGTCCTCGACCTTTAGAAAATAATTTTAAAAGGTCCTTAAAGTCATATTTCCGTTAGTATCGATACTAACAGAATATTTAAATGGACATTTGAGGTATTAGGTGGCGTTTGGTTATATTATTTGAAATGACATGGCAGTTCTGCTTATTTTAAAAAATGAAAAAAAAAAATCTGGGTCCTAATCGATTATACTCCATATTCCACAGCACCTTCTTCCTCCTATTCTTTAATGAAGCTCGACGCCGACCGTCGTGTTCGTCCTTGTGGCCATTGTCGTCGTTGCTGCCAACCTCTGACATCCTTCGCCGACCACCAAGAGGGAATGAAGGAGGAAAGGGAGCTCTCCCTGTCTCCCTCATTCCAGATCTGAAACGAAGGAGAGAGGGATAGCTTCCCATTTCCCTTGCATGAACACGCACCAAGTTTTGTATTCACCTTCTTTAATTCTTTTTAAATTTTTTATGGATTTTTCATCCTTTCACTCAAAATTTTGATTTCTTGCAGGAATCTTCCTTTCCCTGTTGAAAAATAGTAATTTGTAATTTTGAAATGTACTAGAAACTTCTAGAGTTATCCACACAAATAGTTATCTATAGATTTATCTAGAAGTTTGTAAATAAAGATGTAAATCAAACACTCTAGAATCATCTAGCTTTTTTTTCTAGGTTCCAAGGAATTCTCGAATTCCTTTGGATAAGAATAAATTAATATGTATCTAGAGAACTCCTTAACTCTCTAGAATTCTCCAAATAGTTCTCTCAAATACCTATAAATAGAGGTGTACTTATCTCTCATTCTATGTAATCAAGAAAAACCAAAACTTAAATTAAGAAAGTGTCAAATCACAATATTAGAAGTTTCTCTCCATACTTGTCTCTCCATTCTAAATAATCCCCTACTTTCTTTCACTACCTCCAACAAATTTGGTATCAGAACCATCCTAAAATTGAACATTACTACTAGTTGTGTTCCAAACTTATTTACCCTTCCAATGAACCAAGTTCTCGTATTTGATGGAGAGCATTATGAATACTGGCAGAGTCAAATGGAGACAATTTTCATTTCTCAAGATCTTTGGGAAATCATTGAAGAAGACAATGAAGATGAAGGCACCAAGGAGATGACACCAGAACAAGAGAAGGAGTTTAAGAAGAACAAAAGGCGAAATGCTTTAGCTCTTCGACTCATTCAGCAAGGTGTTAGTAAGTCCATATTCCCTCGAATTTTTGGTATTAAAAAAGCTAAAGATGCTTGGGAAATTTTGCAAAAAGAATTTCAGGGATCTCAAAAAATTGTCTCCATCAAGTTGCAATCCTTGTGGAGAGATTTTGACAACTTGGCGATGAAGGAAAGCGAAAACATTCGGGAATTCTTTTCTCGAGTTGCCGAAATTATTAACCAAATGAAGAACTATGGAGAGACTATTCCAAAAAAGAGAGTCAATAAAAAAGTTCTTCGAAGCCTTCCTCCAAAATTGAACCATGTTGTTACAACAATTGAAGAGTCAAAAGATTTCTCGAAATTGACAATCCTTGAACTATTAGGATCGCTTCAAGCTCACGAAGAGAGATTGAACAAGTGTCCAACTCAAGCTGTGGAGCAAGCCTTTCATACCAAGCTAAATTTTGCAGAAAATAAGACATTCAAATCTAATCATCAAAAACGGTAGAATCCTGCGCAAAAGAAGGATCGGCAACATGGTCAACGGGACAAGGGAAAATGGCACAGCAAGAAATCCGGTAATACTGACTCTTACTGCATCATTTGCAAAAAGTCAAATCATCAATCTAAAGATTGTTACTTTAGATGCACTAAATGCTGGATTGCAAATCATTCTAATAAAGATTGTTTGTTTCAAAATAAAAAAGATAAAGCAAATTTTACAAAAGAAGATAAAGGGGAGCAATTGTTTTCTTGTACAATTGACCAACATGAATCGCAAAGTATATGGTACGTGGATAGTGGTTGCAGTAATCACATGACAGGAAATAAAGACTTCTTTGTCAAGCTTGATCGCAGTTTCAGCTCTCAAGTAAAACTTGGAAATGGCAAGATGCACAAAGCTGAAGGAAAAGGAGTCATTGTTGTCCACGCCAAGAAAGGAGATACAAGGTATATGTCAGCTGTTCTTTATGTTTCAGGCATAACCCAAAATTCGTTTAAGTGTTGGTCAGCTACTCCAGAAAGGATATGCAGTCAATTTTGATGATGGCAAGTGCATTAGTCTGGACAAGAAAAATGATCAGATAGTAGCAAAGGTTGATATGTCTGTCACCAAAGTCTTACCGCTCATGATGCCGTTGGAAGAAAACTTTTCTCTCAAGAGCGAAAGTCCAGATATTTCCTACCTATGACATTTGAGGTATGGTGATATTTACAGCAAAGGTCTTCTTACACTAAAACAAAAAAATATGGTGATTGGCCTACCCAGAATTGAAGATAATGGAAAGGTATGTGAAGGTTGCATCTATGGGAAAATCCATAGACTTCCTTTCCCTAAAACTTCGTGGAGGGCTAAATCTCCACTAGAGTTGGTGCATGCAGATATATGTGGTCCTACAAGAACTCCAACTCTGACTAACAAAAGATATTTCATTTTATTTGTCGACGATTTTACAAGAATGATGTGGATTTATTTCCTTAATGAAAAATTAGAGGCTTTTGCTACTTTTCTTCAATTTAAAGCTCTTGCAGAAACCAGAAGTGGCAAAAATATCAAAACTTTGATTACAGATAGAGGAGATGAGTTCATCTACAAGCCATTCATGGACTATCGCAAGGAGAATGGCATAATGAGATAATTAACAGTTCGACACAGTCCACAACAAAATGGCGTTGCTGAAAGAAAGAATCGAACCATTGTGGAAATGGCACGGAGCATGTTCAAAGCTTAAGGACTTCCAAATAATTTGTGGGCAGAAGCTGTCAATACAGTTGTCTATATCCTCAATCGGTGTCCTACCAAAGCAGTAGAAGACAAAACTCCTTTTGAAGCATGGAATAAGAGGAAACATATTGTTCATCACTTCAAACTTCTTGGCTGCCCAGCTTATTCTCTAGTTCCTTCCCGGGAAAGAGAAAAGTTCGATAAAAAAGGAGCTAAATACTTATTCATCGGCTATAGTGATGAATCAAAGGGATATCGATTGCTAGATCCAGGGACGAAGAAATTGTTGATATCAAGAGACGTAATATTTGACGAAATGGCCACATGGGATTTTGAGAATAATGGTTCTCAACCTTCCCAACAGTACCAAGATATTCAAGAGCTTGATAGCCAACAAAACTCTCAGAATTTGAGCTCACCAAGAAGTTCTCCTTCAACTCCTTTGAGATCGCCAGTTGAAACTACTTCAAATCAAGAAAGCTCGGAATCTCCCCCAAAAAGAATACGATCTTTACAAGATATTTATGCTTAAAGTGAACATTTTGCAATGTTTGCTTATGAGCCACAAAAATCTTTTGCGATAATATGTCAGCAATTGCAATGACCAAAAATCCAGTCTTTCATGCTCAGTCCAAGCATATTGAGCTATGTCATCACTTTATCAGAGATTTGGTAAACAAAGAAGAAATATTTTTGGAATTCATCAACACCAATGATTAACCCGCATATATGTTCACCAAATCTGCCACGACTAAGAAGTTCGAAAAGTTCAAGAAGTTTTTTAAAATTACAAATTAAGAGGGGGTGTTGAAAAATAGTAATTTGTAATTTTCAAATATGCTAGAAACTTTTAGAGTTATCAACACAAATAGTTATCTATAGATTTATCTAGAAGTTTGTAAATAAATATGTAAATCAAACACTCTAGAATCATCTAGCTTTTTTTCTAGGTTCCAAGGAATTCTAGAGAATTCCTTTGGATAAGAATAAATTAATATGTATCTAGAGAACTCCTTAACTTTCTAAAATTCTCCAAAGTGTTCTCTCAAACACCTATAAATAGAGGTGTTATCTCTCATTCTATGTAATCAAGAAAAACTAAAACTTAAATTAAGAAAGTGTCAAAGCACAATATTAGAAGTTTCTCTCCATACTTGTCTCTCCATTCTAAATAATCCCCTACTTTCTTTCATTGCCTCCAACATGCTCCTTTAATTCATTAGGATGTGGCAAATTCGGATTCAACGACAACTCTCTGTCCTTCAACGAGAGTGATATATTCTGGCGAAATGCTTCACGGCTTAATTTTTTATGCCGCCCGTCAGACTCGATTTGTTCAAAGAAGATGAACCCCACAGGCGAAAATCCCACAGGGCTGTTCGCGGCCAACAGCCGTGAGGGAATTTGCGGTGGAGATCAGGGAATAGAAGATGCAGGAGGTTCGGTTTGGCTCAGGGAGGAGGAAGAGAGAGGAATAGTGTTTAGATTTTTTTTAATAAATAAATGACTTGTCATTTAAAATAAATGCCACAAAAAATTACACATAATACTCAAACGTTCATATCAACATTCATGTCACTAACGAAAGTTTGAGTCTAGGGACCTTTTAGAATCGTTTTCTAAAGGTCAGGGACTAAACTGGTTGCTTTTTCAACTTAGGGGATTAAATTTTAATCCTCAAACTCAAACTCAGTGACCAAAAGTGTATTTTACCCTTTTAAATTTATGATTCAATTGGTTGGGTCGAAATTCAAGGAACATGACCTTAAATAGGGAGTACGAGGAAAGTAATCAAGAATCATTTGAATAGAAAAACAATAAAAAGAAAGACTGAGTCAATAAATTTGAGTCATTTGACTACTGAATATACGTACATGTGTTCCTTTGGGTCCAAAACCTAACCATCTTCTTCTTCCCCTCTCGAAATTGGGTTCGGGTTCGGGTCAGCTTCTGGTATGTTCGGGATATCCAGCAGCGCACCATGTGATCTGGTTCCGGTCGAGTCAAATTAATTGATGATGACATCGGAAAGCAAACCAGTATACTGCGGGTCGTCCTCCGACAGCATCGATCATTAGGAAGGGATTATGGAAGTGGGATTGTGGAAATCGGGTGGCGGAGGAGAAAAATACATTCCATCTCTCAAGCCACCAATAGTATCACACCATTACTGTAGACACCGTATTTGGTCCAGGTCAAATTTTATTATTCTTTTTATTTATTTATTATTTTACTTTATTAAATTTTACTATTTTGGTTAAAAATAACATCATTATTAATTTTAAGATAAAGTTTCAATTACTCTTAAATTTAAAAATGTTAGATTTATTTAAAGGTTTTGATTTTATTAATAAGAAATTAAAAAATGATTTTGTTTATATTTTGTTTTAAAAAATTGGATTTATTATTTTATTTTAAGAATTTTGTTTGAAATAAATGATTTTTTTAATTAAAAAAGATTTTGTTTATAAACAAACTTGATTTTTTCCGGTCAAACTTCTATTCTTCTTCCTTCTTTTATCCTCATTCTTTTTCTTTAACTTTACTTGACCTTCCCAAATAGTACCGTTACCATTTTACGTATTTGAACAAAAACAATAGAGTATGGAAGAATCAAAGAGATTTTTTTTTTCCTAAAAGTCTTAGCCTCCTTCTTCTTCATCTCATTTTCTCTAGAATTGAGTCGCGTCCACTCTTTCCTACACTCTTCCCCGTTAACCTCACCACCACACCCTCTTCCTTTCCCCCAACCTTTCATATATTTTTCCCATTTTCCTTTGCAAATCCGACGAGGCACCACCACAAATTTCGGGTCCGGCGACGAACAGATTTGACAGTATTTTGGCAACCACCCGTCATCAAAAGATCGACGACAGTACAGTAGTGGCACGAGCGAGACCGGCAACCCACTCTGACACCCACGAGCTCCAGCATAGCAGATTCGATGATGCCAACAGCATCAGGTTCTAGCAAAAGCCCGGCGGTAGAAATCTCTGTGCAAAAAACAATATACCCTTTCTTTTAATAATAACAAAAAAGTTTCTTTTATGATTTCACAATAAGTTTTTTCTAAATAAAATAAAATGAAGTAAATAAAATTTTAATTTCATTTAAATAAAAGATTTTGCTTTAAAATTTTGGTTAAAATAAGTTGAAAAAAATAAGAGTTTTTATGAAATAAATCTGTCTAGAAGCTATAAGTAATGCAATTTGTTTAAAAAATAAATTGGATTCTTTTAAATTTCAATTCAACGTTTAAAAGTTAGAGGAAAACATTTTAACAAGGTTTACTCTTTTTTGTGTCAGTTTCGTTTTAATTTTTAATTTAAAAAAGTAAAAGAGTCTTTTTCTGACTTCTACTGCAGGTTTTGTAAAAAGAGAAGATAAAAAAGAGTATTTAAAGAAAATCTTAAAAAAATCTTAGCAAAAAAAAAACAATTTTAGCGAATAAAATTTGTTTAAAGTAAATTTGATTTTATTTTGAAATAAAAATTTTTCTTTTAAAGAATGTTTTTAATTTCGAAATAAATAAAAAGTTGTTTTTCTTTTTTGTTTTAATTTAACAAAATGCGTAGGTTTTTTATTAGTTTTAAAAAATAAATTAAAAGCTTTGTTTTTTAAAAGAAAACTATATTTACATTTAGGTGTTGACATAGTGGTAAAATGGTTACATTCCTCAAAATAGAAGTATTTTATTTTTATTTTGTTTATCATTGTTTCTACTAAATAATTATTTTAAATAAAAAAATTTCGTTTTGAGGTTTTTTTAAAACAAAGATTAAAAATAAAAGTTTGTATTTATAAAAAAGAAAGTTAAATTGTATCCTAAGGGGTTTGTACATTGGCAAGTGACTTAGATGTTTATAATTGAAGTTCAAGTTTCAATTTGTCCAAAATTAAATAATATTTTTATTTATTATTATTTTTTACTAAATAATTATTTAAAAACATCAATGATAGAAATTAGAACCTTCCAATATTCTAGGGATGGTAAAAAAAATTTAATGATTTTCGTGCCACACATACATATTAATTCATATTCTAATATAATGTGAGACATTTCAATCAAAATACAAAAGTATTTTTTTGACCAAATAAAAATAATAGGATAATATTTTTTTGACAAAATATGGTACAATTTTCGAATGGGTGTCGTAGGGTGCTAATACCTTCCTTGCGCTTAGTCGACCCCCGAACCAAAAATCTATTTTCGCAGACCAAGTTTTTAAAATAGGTGACCAATCACACTTCATAGATGATTGGTGGCTAGTCAAAACCCCTACAACTAGTCACACATCGCAGACCAAGCTTTGACTAGGCGCAATAAGCTTGGACTTTCGGTGACGCAATTCAATTTCGTCGCTGAAAGTACCGACTTTCGGAGACGAACCGTAATTTCGTCTCTGAAAGTCACCCTTTCGGCAACGAAAAATTAATTTCATTGCCGAAAGGCACTTTTGGCAACGAAATTCATTTCGTCGCCAAAGATCTCGTCGTCGAATCTTGAAATTCTTGTAGTGACTCTTTTTTCGAATGGGCAAGCAATGTTCCAACTTTGCTTTATTATCTAGATGAGCCAGTGAACAGCAGAACCTGAGACATACGAAAAGAACCATCGTGTTGTGGCCAACTGGTCAATAAGGATTAATGTAAATAACAAAATATTTAGAGGAAATAAGGTCAAATGATCATGTGGCCACGTACCTAGAGTTACCTTAACCCGCAAGCTGGCTTGGACAGCCACGAATATTGAAAAAAAAAACCAATAAAAAGAATCTCAACTCTATTTATCTTGCAATCAAGAAAGTAGTTCACAGTTGAGGCTTTAGTCAAAAAAGAAAAGAGAAAAGCAAGCAATAACCCAGATGAGGGAATCCCATCAAACTTCAGAGACAAGATGAGGGTATCTTCGGCTGTGGCCAAAAATTGAACCAAAGAAAATTGAAAAAATAAAATAAATAAAAAGCCCCCACACTCTGCTCTGATTTTCCCAGCAGAATGTTGGTTCATTGAATAACGTGGTGGTGTTGTTTTTGCTACTTATATCACCGCTCAACCATCTTCAAATATTTGAAATGCATTACTCTAAAATTTTATTAACTTTTTTAATTTGAATATAAGTTTGATTTAGTATGTAATTTTATTTTTATATCTAAAACTAATTATCTTTAATATTTCTTATTTGGATTGAGATATTTGTAAGGTTTTCTTTTCTTTTTTACGATAAATATGAAATTGTCAAGTTTTAATTTATTACGTGTTAATTTGATCGGATTAAAAGATCTATTTTTTCATGATGATATATAATACAACTAATACTAAAACTTATTATTATTATATTATATATTAAAATTACAAGGCATAATAATAAAAATATTATACCTTCTTTTCATCTGTCGAAAATTTGGATTTCACGAATTTGAAATGAATTTGTTTTCGAATACAAATAAAAATTTAAAATGATTTCGATGGTTTTAAAATGTTGGAATTTGAAATCTGTTACGAATTTCACACACCAAACATAACATAAAAGTTACAAACTTTCCCTGAAAGGAAGTAATAGTAATAAAAAAGGAATCTGTCTTCCGCTAGAATCACGAGTACATATATGAATAGCAACTTATTTGATACAAGCTCCAAAAGAGCGACTCCCACTTGGCAGTTGGCAGTGGCTGTTTCTTTTTTCCCTGTCTCCCGTTGGGATCTCGCTAAATAGTGGAGTGAGGGTTGAAGTGGGCGACAGCCGGCCGGCCGGCGAGAAACCGCGACATTGTCTCCACATCTACGGTGGTGATATCGTTAATACTCGACCTCTTCCGACTTTGCTCCGATGAAAGTTTACGGCTGTAGAACTTCTGGGCATGACTGGCCACTTGGGCCGCTGTTTTTGTTACAGCAACTTCCGTTGCAATGCTTTTCCAATGTCCTTTCCCATATATTTGCAGTCCAATCAAAAATAGCCTGCAACCAAATTGGAAGGAGATGAATTTATAATTATTTTTTCTTTATAAGGGAAAAAACAGAGTAGATTACTACTACTTGTGTTCGTCTTTCGTCCAACATGTGACTTTCCTCTTCTTTTCCGGCGACGGCGATGGACCCAAATCCGAGACTGGCGTTGTGGGGTCCAGCGCTGAGCTGCCGTCTTCCAGCTCCCACTGAATCGAAGAAAGAGGAGAATAGGTTAAGTAATCCGACATTATGTCATTGCCAATACAATGATTTTCATTAGTCGGAGTCCGGCCGGCGGGGAAATGGCCGGAAGAATAAAAATCGGAATCGGAATAAAAAAACTCAGAATTCTGCATCTCCGCTGCCGTATCGCCCTGTAGAATAATACTCGGAGTAGTCCGGCCGGCGGGGAAATGGCCGGCAGAATAAAAATCGGAATCGGAATAAAAAAACTCAGAATTCTGCAACTCCGCTGCCGTATCGCCAGTAGAATAATACTCGGAGTCGTCGGAGGAGGAGGCCGCCCAACTAACTCAATTAATGCCATACTTCTAACTGGTATATATATATATAGAGGGAGAAAAAAATTACATTTACAGACAGTTACTTAATTTCACTCATCAACAATTGTAATCTAACTTTTGAACCCTGATCTTCCCCTTCTTGTTTTGTGGTTCTATGATCTACCACCGACTTTACTTTATCTTGATTTTGATGAACCCGATATATCAACTCTAGTTAACTTAGCTGTATTTTGTCTTTATGATGAGTCTGCTTTTTACCCTAGTTTGGTTTGGAGTTTTCCATATATTAATTCTTGTATTTCTTTATTTTATTATTTTAGTTAAATTTCTCGCTGCTTAATCATTAGACGGCAGAAGTTAGGGATTTTTTTCGATCACAACTCATCGAATTTTACTTTCAAATCAATAAAACATGCATGCATGTACCAAATTACCCTCCAAAGTCCAAAACCATTTTTTTTCAAAGGAAAGTTCAAAACTTAAGCTATAGCCACCTACCGATATATTTTTAATACCCAATTTCAAGTTTAAAACATATTTTTACCTCTAGTGGATTTAATATAATATAAATTGCCTGTGCATAGAATATCCAAATTATTAGTCGAATCCTCCCAAGACTAATGGAACCTACAAGATCGGGGTGAACACTTTGATACTCAAGTCAGGTCATAATAAGTATTGTTATTCTCATTTAGGATTCATTTTGTTCGTAGTTTTATTCTTAGGCAGGCGAGGAGCATACTGACGCTAATCCTTTCATGATGTCGCCTACAAATCAATGGAGAAGGGGGAAATTTTGGTCATGATCCGACTGAATTTACTCAGGCTCGAAGAATCTACCCATTCGCTACGACTGGGAGCGACCGACCTCTTTGCGTCGGTCTCTTTCTGCAGGTAGTTGCCTGTTTTCGGCATACACCCTCCATGGTGCGACATGTGGCAACTAGTCTTACCACATAACATAAACAACTTTTAATATTATGTTAGATCCCAACAACAATATTAACGAGTTTTATCAAAGTCTAGCATCACAAAGGTAGAAATTAAATATGTGATCATATTCACAATATATAAATTTATTAATAGTCAACTTTTAATTAATTTCTGTAGTAAAAAAATAATTAATTTCCATGATAATTATTAAATTTATGAATAAATGAACTATTTCTTCCAAAGGTGGTAATTTTATTCCATCACCTAATCTGACCACAACTTTGTCCTTTGGCTGTGTAGTGCTTCATTTATGGCACTCTTCCAACTCTTATCGTTTTCAATTTTATGAACTTATTTAAATTATTAATTTCAACTATTCCTATACGTCCACTTCTAAAAGTAATTAACTATTAAAGTCCTTATAAGATATTTGTGGAATGTGAAAGAGGTTAATTAAAACAAAACAAAAAAAAAACAGAAATTTAAATTATGTGGGGATGTGAAAGAAAGTAATTTGTTATAGATAAAATAATTTGAAATGGTTTTATTTACATACGTGGTGAAGAAAGTGTCCATTGATGTTAAGTAAGCACATTGAGTGATTTTTTTTTAGTGTTTGTTATTTGTATCGGTATTTTATTTGCAATTGCTCAAAGTGTATAAATACTTGTACGGATGACACTAAACTCAATAAAACATAAAAAATTCAATTCTTTGTGAATTTTAATAAGGTATCAGAGCTCAAACGATCCTCCGATACTAAAATGAGATTTGATCAAAATCAATTAATCACCAAGAGTTACGATCTTGAAGAATGAAAGAATAAGAAACCTAACCATCGTTTATAATATAAATAGTCGTAGTCTCTACTCATCTTACTACTAATTGATTTTAAAATGCACAAAAATGTGAGATTTGAGAGGAAGGTTGGAAAGTAAGAAATAATTGGGGTTAAATGAGGCCGCGAAGAGATAGAATTGAGAGCGACAAGAGGAGCTTCAAAAGAATAGAGGAGTAGGAGAGAGAGAGTAAATTATTAAGCTTACAAGTCACATGGGAGAGGAAAACAGAACAAATCTCAAGTTTGTCCAAAGGCCTCCACATGTGTCATGGTTTCTTTTTTATCTCTTAGCTTAGCTTTTTTGTTGCGAACACACAAATGAGACAAACACAAGAGATATATTTATATTATGATATATGGAAAAGGAGAGGGAGAGATAAATGATTTGAGACAGAAATGTGGAATTTAAGACATGACAAACTCAGAATGTATTAAAAGGTTTATTTCAGACCACACAAAATAGTGGAATTTAAGAGAAATGTATTTAGAGAGAGTAAATCACAAAGGATAAATTCAGTTTTGTATAAGAAAATTAAATATTAATATTGTCTCAAAAAAAAAAAGGAAAAGTATTGTCCATTCCATTTGATTGATTTATTAAGTCATTAGATTGAGTTATTTAATTACATGTGAGTGAGTGTGGTGAGTTATTAAATCATTAGTCATTAAATTAGGGTACTTACGTGTGAACGTGAGATTTTTTTTTTTAAGTACAATGGGGTGGGGTATTCGAACTCATGACTAAAGAAGGTGTCAATTATCGGAGAGCTAAGCTCATGTTGGCTATGAGTGCGTGGGTAATTTAGGCATTATATAAATAATCAAGACTAAAATCACATGGTGTTTTTAATGAAAACAAACCTGTATTTCGATATATTATATTTTACATGTTTTAATTTTTAAAAAATATGATGAATTTATAACATAAAATAATATATTTATCAAAAAACTTGTTTTTTAATATAATTCTACTTTCTAAAGTTTCAAATTCAAAAATGTAATTCAGAATTTTAATTATTTGAATCATAGAATTAAAAATAGTTTTAAAAAATAAATATGTGAAACAGATATTCAAAAATCAATTTCAAAACAATAAACAAAATCCAAAATTTTTTTTCTTCTTCCAGAAGATGGGGAATATCCAGTTTGGAAAACGTGTGAATGAGTGATTGATTAAGTAATAAAATAATATTGAGCCCAGCCACGCGTATAAGGTGCTTCCAGAATAATCTGACGTGTCATTCTGCAAAATGTGGTCAGGGGCGGAATCAGCGTGAGCCAAAATTTATAATGTAATATATTTGGTTATCTATTTAACAAAAACCTTACTTTTAGGCTGTGGCACAATTATTGTTCTAAATTTCACTTGCATGTCGAAGATCGACAGTGAACATGTCAATGGAATATCGACATGTCGATGTGTCGACAGTCAACATGTTGACGAAAATGTAGCTCAAATTTTTTTTTGGTTATTTCTTCTTATTCCTTCAACATATTGATATTATTTATATTAAGAAATGAGATCGAGTTGTGCTATTTATATTAAGAAATGAGATCGAGTTGCTACACATAGAGCTTGAACTATTAGGAAATTTCATAATAATAATAGACTCCTCGACCAGAGACCAAGAAAATAGGCTCCTCCATCAGTGTGGTAGGTCTTATTCGACAAGGATGAACACTCTAAATCTCTCTAACAGTTATATGTGAATAGTGAAAGCTCAATTCTCTACTATTTATAGAGATAAAATATGATCCACCCTATTCATTCCATTAGGAATAGTTAATTCGTTAGGGACGTGTTTTGCTTTTTTAAATTAATTTATAATTTATAATTTAATTAAGATAAAACAATATCCATGTCAATTTAGTCTTTAATTTATGAGGAATATTATTATTTATTTTTACATTTGTATTTTCAATTTCTTAATTTATTTACTTTTTTACCTCATTTTTTTAGCTACTTTTCTCTTCTTTTGGTCCCCAAATGGTAGAGGGGAGTCTTTGAGAATAAAGATAAAAGGAAACCAAGAAATCTATTTTTAATTATAAAAAAAACTTTAAATTAAATTTAACTAAAAAAATCTAACAAAAATCTTAAAGAAATCAAAACAGTGATTAAAAAAATAAATTTTAAATTAAGTTTAACTTACCAATTCTTAAAACAAACAAATCAATTTAATTAATTATTATTAAACGTTTAAATTTTAAACTAAATCTAATTTTTAAAAACTTATTTCATACTTTACCCATATAATATATATTATATCTTAACTAATGAATTAGAAATTATCAATAAAACATAATTAAACAATATTAAATTTTAATTTACTAATTCAAATAATTTTTATATATGATTTTATTTCTGACATTTTCCGACGACATATTCATAAGTATATTACAGATATTGATGGTTAAAAGTAATTAGTTATATGTTAATTAACCTACTATTAAAGTTTTATTTATTAATTCAAAAATTTTGTATCAATATCCACAATTTCTAATATTTTTTTCGAAATATCCATCCACATGACATTTGAAACCTTGGACACGATGCATGCATAACTCAGGCCGAATTCAAATCTACTCAAACTCAACTTTTAATTATTTTTTTCCTTTTTTTGGGGAAAAATCTCTCAAGCCCTTTGAAATCCGAGTTTGAGGCCACTGACACATGATTTTTATTCTCTCTCCTTGATATATTCTCTCAATTTTCCAATTTTGAAAATAAAGAAAAAACAATAGAATCATACATAATTTCTCAATTAAAAAAATCATACAATTCGTAATTCTATATTATCTTTTTATAGAAAAGTTTAAAAATTTTCTTTATATAAATATATTAGTTTAGAATATTTGATGAGTAGGATATTGGGCTAATGTTATTTAAAAAATAAATCATAAAAATAATGTAGATTTCAAAATTAAAGTAAATATTAAAACTATTGACAAAAATACCACTTAGTCAAAAGTCAAGATTGAAGAGCTGCCACACCAGATTGTTAGTTGAAGTTGGAGTAAGCATATTCATGAAAATTGCGTACGTCTGACGAGATTTTCATGAAAACCGTATAGAATAGACGCGATTTTGCGTGTCAACCAAGCAAAGCATTATTTTCTTCAAAATTTTCAATCGAAAATCGCCAGTAAAGTTCCTCCAATTTCCTCCAGCGAAGAATGAAAGAATAGTTTGGGACAGTTTTGGGGAAAAATGAATCAATTCCTCCCTTGTTTACAAGAAAATTGAGCTGTAAAAATGGATGATTGCATGAGGAGAAAAAAATAAAAAGAAAGGCTGAAATGGAATATTTGTTGACAAGCGACTAATACATTAGTAAAGGCAAAAAACAATTTACAAAGGAAATTATGACTAAACTAATAAGGAAAAAGGAAGTTAATTAATAGGGAAAAAATGTCTAATAAGGAAAATGGAAACTGAATAATGGAAGAAATAAATTGTTCAGAGGAGTTCCCGTGGCGGAGACAACGAGTTTCGGTCAGATGGTGGTGGCGGTGTGGTACCAGCAGCGGCGGCACTGCAAGCGGCCTCGATCGGAATTAGCGGCGGCAGGCAGCAGATACGAAGGCGAGAGTAGAATTGAACCAAAATCGTGGTGAGAATAATAAAAGAAGGCATTGAGTGAATGACCCAACCTCTATAAACAACTGGAAATCAAGATGGTTTTATGTCTTGGGAAATTGGTTGATGACTACTAGTGAAGGGACCTCTTATTGTGAGGTCCCTGTTTAACCATCAATTCCCAAGGGCCACGTCACTCGATTTCAATCAAAATGACACGAGGTCGGATAATGGTCGAACTAAACACCTAGCCAAGCTGGACGTTAAGTTAAATGGTTTACTCCTCTTTTTATGCCACGACAGTCAAACCAGCTCCCAGGCAGCAGTCGACAATTTGTCAAGCCAACCTAACCCTGGTTCCAAAACTGAAACCAGCAACTAGTCAGTGAGTCTTTTTACATCCATCCTTTTTTTTGTGTTCCTTGTAGGATACAAAAGTAGTGGTAGTGGTAAGTTTCTAAGTTAATACTGCTGCTAAAAAAGTTTGATTTCATTTTCGACTATTTTTTTTTGTTAGATTTGTTTATGTTATTTGGCAGCCTTAACCTCCACAGTATCGGCAATAGATCTGAAAAAGGGAGATGGATACACATGTAGTTTCTTTGTTCAATGGAATTTTGTAACTTATGTTATTTTTTTGGAAGTCTTTTGTTTTGTGTTTAATAAGGTGATGCCATTAACTAGATTACAAGTTCTTTTTAATTATTTTGGTTTTGTATTTTCGGTTGGATTTTGGCTATAGGACATCAAGTTTATTAGCTCATGTTTTTTTTAGGTTGAATTCTCAAATGCACGTTTTCCATATTTGATTGAGGTAGGTGGTTCTTTGCAAAAGTCTCTTATGCTTTTTGTTATCAAATTTCCATACTCCTTTCTTGATAATGTTTTAATTCCACGAGTCGAGATTCGAACTTGTTTTTGCAGGTTTAATTCCATGAGTGTTCTCAGTAATTTATGTTGACTACCGATCATTTTTTGGTAAGCACAATTGGCGCCGTCTGTAGGTACGAAAGTTCTCTTCGAATCTTAAATTAACAAAGCAGCCTTTGTGGTCAACCAACAAAGTGATGGCAGATGAAGGAATGTCACAACGATCGTACACCAGCAGCCGCACTCAAAACACAGTGCGCACTCCAAACCGCGGGCGAGGAAGACCGCCATTGATGCGAGGAGGTGGAGGAAGAAGGAACGTGGCACGACCAAGTTCCTCAAGCACCGCCTGCATATGGGTCAGGAGTTAATGGGGCTGCGTGCAGAGCTCAACAAGGCTCGATCGAAGTTGGGCGGAGTTGCTCAGTTGAGGACAGAGATTGCCAATTTGACTGCGGCACTGTGTCGCAGCCAAATTCCGGAGGCAATAGCAGGAGACGCAAATGCACCTGGGCCATCAGTCAGAGTTCGGGAAGTTGATGCACAAGAACATACTATTGCGTCCCCAGTTCTAAGGGACCCAGCACGTGGAAAAGCCTCAGCGGTGTCAGGGGAAGAAGATGCACTCCCGCACGTATCTGTCCACGAACGACTAAATTTAGGAGGAAGGCGAACCGCTACGATGGACCCAAAGGAAGGCTTGCGGGTGCATATTACAGTCGGGGAGCTTGGCTCCTTATTTGAATTATGCGGTTTCTTTTCCATGAAAATAGGAAAACTGCACGTTGAGTGGGGGAGCAGTTTGGCTGTCGTGGCGTAAAAAGAAGAGTAAACCGTTTAACTTAACGTCCAGCTTGGCTAGGTGTTTAGTTCGGCCATTATCCAACCCGTGTCATTTGGATTGAAATCGAGTGACATGGCCCTTGGGAATTGATGGTTAAACAATTAATAAGGAAATCCTAAAGCTTTGTAACTCTTGGTATTCTACGACTATATAAAAAGCTATTTCTCACTTTTTCTCCCAACTTCTTTTCTCACAAAAACTTAGTCTTTTTTACTTCTTGGTATGTTTTCTCCTTTAGTTAATGTCTGATATTTTCTTATATTTTAGTTAGATTTTAACTTTTAATTTCTATTTCAAAAAAAAAGATAATAACTGTAATTCTAGAGAAGTCTTGATTACGTACAACACGTACAAAAAATAAGTAATTTATTCAAAAAGCTTAAAGATATACCTGTTTATTATTGTTATTATTATTTTTTCGTCATTATCTTTTTCCATGACTCAAATAAAAAATAAAAGCAAGGTTTATTTCCTTTCTTGTATTGTTATTTTTATGAAGAAAAAAAGGGTCAAAATCTAAGAATATGTGTTAAGTTGTTATTTTTAACTATTGTATTTTACTTAGAGAAAATTTTCAAGTAATTGATGCATTTCAATTTTTTACACTATCAGGGATGAGAATTATTGGAACGTCGAGATAAATATGGAGAATAAAAAAAATTGGTGAGGTAAACATTGAGAGAGAAAAGAGTCAAAATTATATTTAAAGTTTTTAATTATTTAATTAATTTTTGTAAAACTTTAAATTAAAACTATGAAATTTCCACGTAAGATGCACGTGTTTCTTACTAGTTTATTGAAATGAATAATAGAGTAATTTTTTTTCAAACTCTACAATGTGACACTGTGAGCACGCACCCATTTGTCAACTCATAGCCTCATTAGCAATGACGTTATAGGAGGATCGAAACTATCCAAACATCGTGACCGTACGTTTTCATTGTTTTTTTTTTAATATAACAGGTGGAATAGAAAAATTCAAATTCATAACCTTCCTACTAGGGACATGTCTCAATTACCGTGCTAAACTAACTCATGTTGGTCGATGGTTCCATTGTTAATACACATTAACAAAATACGTTTATTAAAATTTAAATGAGGTGGCATGATTTAGACTCAAAGTTAAGATAGATTATAACTTAACAGACATGTAACTGAGATTGTATTATCCCCAAATTTTTCATGCCACCTTAAACAAAAAAATAAATAAATAAATAAATAAATGTCAACGATGATTGAAAATTAGAAAGTATAATTGGTTTTTGTTGTTTAGGTCTACAAATTTAAATAGACCTTAAGAAATTTACAATTTAATTTTGTGCAGACTGCAGAGAGTCAAAATCTGGACCTTGACCGAAGCTTCAGGATTTCTTCCATTTTCTCCTCTTTTTCTCTTCCATCCATTATTTTTTCTTCTCTCCTTCCATCATGTTCTTCAGCGCACACGTCAAATTTCGTCGTCTCTCGGATTCTCAGAAGAAAGGATCTGGAAATATCTATCTTGTCGGTGCTGATTTTTCATTTCTTGCGGTGAATTAGCTTATAATGCTGGCGCCAAAATCTGCCGTCAACATCCCCGATCATGTCCCCAACGGTGCCGCATTCGCCATTGTCGCAACCCCGAGGTTTGTGCTTTCAATTTTTGATTGAGAAAGAGAAATGGAATCGTTTAACTTCGTGCACTAGTTTGTTTGTTGAGGTTTTGTTGTGTGTTTGGATTTAGAGGTTAGCATTGTGGAAGATGAAAATGAACGAGCGTTTGAATTGCCGAAATTCTTGGTGATTGGTCACAGAGGATGCGGGATGAACATCTTGCAATCCTCTGATTCGCGTTTCAATTTTGTGAAGGAGAATTCAATTTTGTCCTTCCAGGCTGCCGCTAGGCTTCCCATCGATTTCATCGAATTCGACGTTCAGGTGAGATTATTCCACTGTGTAGCATCAATGGGGGGAGATTCAGAAAATAATCGTCGTTGTTTCTTATGCATGTCAATTTCTTTCAGATTTTTTCTTATTATATTATATGTTCTGTCCCCACTGTGTTTTCCAATCTGATAATTCAAACTGCAAATAGTTGCTTGTCGTCTAATGGATGGGGATGGCTCTTGTGAATTTGTCCTCGAGTATTCACCTCAATTTGCGTTACTGATTTGTTTGCCCGTTTCTTTTCCTTCCCCTTTTCTTTCCTCTTTCCTTCCTTGCCTTTATTTTCGGTGAGCGAAGAACTTTTTAAGAACCTATTTTTGTAGGTGACCAAAGATGGCTGTCCTGTAATTTTCCATGACTGTATCATCCTTACTGAGGAAAAGGTTCGCAAATCATTTGTATTATCATCTTCGCTTTGGATTTGCTGCGTTTTCTCATTCTCTGTAATTTATTGCACTGATAATGACTAATGGTTTCAGGGAGCTATTGTGGAGAGAAGAGTTACAGATCTCACATTGGAAGAACTTTTTTCATATGGGCCACAAGATGATCCTGGGAAGGTAAGACTTGAGAGATTCCATCTGTCCTTCCTGCATCTTTTGGGAATGAAAAATATGGATTGCTAAATCTTGTAATTTGTTGTATTGGTGAGAATTCAGATGGGCAAGCCCCTATTTAGAAGGACCATAGATGGGGGAATATTTGAGTGGAAAGTCGAAACTGATGCACCGCTATGCACGTTGCAAGAAGCTTTCGAGAAAGTTGAGCCTTCAGTTGGCTTTAACATAGAACTGAAGTTTGATGACCTGATAGTCTACAAAGAGGAGCAACTTGCTCATATGCTCCAACAAATCTTAGAGGTAATTGCTTTGCCAAACATATAAAAACTAAGATTGTGTGTGAGATGATTCTTATAAAATGAAAGCTTGGACAGGTAGTGAAAAAGAATGCCAAGGACAGACCAATTATATTCTCAAGCTTTATACCAGATGCTGCTCAGTTGGTCAAGAAACTTCAAAGCACCTACCCTGTAAGATTATTTGCTGACCATATTGTTATTTTCATTTCTTTCCTTCAAATTCAATTTTGCAATAATGTTTAGCTACTGAAGATCATTTTGGAGTTTGGTTGATTTGGCTCGGTTGTAATGTGTGAATAGGCTGCAGATGGTCTTTTACCAACAATCAAAAAAAGACGGGACATTGGGGTAAGGGTTGAAATCTCATGGTGGCCAGCTACCTGAGATAAAATCGTGTGTTACTTAGCTACTATATGTTGTAGGGTCTTGCGGTTGTCTTATATATAAGATCAGTCTGAGATGTGTGTAACATGGCTTCAACTCTCACAGATATTAAATCTTATGTGTAACACCTCATAGAATAAGCTTGTAGGAAGATTTTCACCTTAATGGAAAGGAAAAAAGTGCTTATAGAGATCTTTTTATACAGGTATTCTTCCTCACGAATGGAGGAACTAAAATTTTTCCTGATATTAGAAGGAATTCATTAGAGGAGGCCATGAACGTGTGTATGGTGGGAGGTTTGCACGGAATTGTTGCAGAAGTCACATCAATCTTGAGGAATCCTACAGCAGTTGAAAGAATCAGAAATTCAGGACTCTCACTTATAACCTATGGCAAATTAAAGTAAGTTTCATATTCATTTCTTCATGTTTCCCTTTCTCGTATAAATGTTATCTCAATTTGCTTGAAGTCCTAGTATGAAACATAATCCTGCTGTGCAGTAACATTTCGGATGTGGTGTACGTGCAACGTTTGCTGGGCGTTGAGGGAGTAATTGTCGATTTAGTACAAGACATCACAGGGGCAGTATCTGATATAATCACTTCTTCCAATTGGGACGAGGGCTTTGCTCGAGCAGCAAATGAAGATGAAGGCGACGAGCCCCGACTTCTCCCAGCCGCAAATGATGACGAGAGCTTGCTTCCTGATCAACAACAAACAGGTACTCTCACAAAAGATAAATCTGGATTCTCACATTGATCATATAATCCAGGTTTATCAATCAATGTAAGTAAATAAGCATGATCTTGATAGCTGTAGGATTGAATATTGATAATATAATCCAAGTTTATCAATGTATGTAAATAAAGTATGATCTTGAGACTGATAATCAAGGTACATTTGTAAATCACAAGAAATTGAAGGAAGTAAAAATAGAGGAGCAAGAATCAACTGAGATCAAATTATTTGAATAAATTGTTATATTCTATTTTTAGTTTTCTGTAGTTTAGAAACTATTTATCTGTCAAAAATCTTAATGAGTTTTTCAAGAACAAAAAACGAAAATAAAATTACTTTTTGATTAATTTTTAAAATTTTATATTTCAAAAGGAGTTCTCAGTAACAACCATGATTTTAAAATATAGAAAATAAAAAATCAACTTGTTATCAAACATTTTTAAGTTTTTAAATTTTTTTAATGTATCTTCTATATCCATTAAAATATATTTCAAAATTTATTATATTACACCCACCAGCATAATCAAACCTCCTCCAGAAACGGGACAAGAAATAAAAAAGAAACATTTTTATTTATGTTTTTGGAATGAATTAGAAACGGTAAAAAATAAAATAAAAAATAAAAAAATTTATTTTTGTTACTTCCAAAATAATTCTGAGAATGTTTTTGAAAAAAAAAATAGAAACAACAAATAAATGTTTAAGCGATCTTAATAAAATTGGAAACAAGATAGGAAAACATTATCGTCCCGTTTGGTGGGTACTTCAGTGGTAAGGTTAGAATCCGTTACTTGAACGAAACATTATATTTGAATACTTAACTAAATATTTCGATCATTGTTTACCACACATTGATTGATCAATTCTAATAGTGTCTCGATATGTTTCTCAATTGGGAAATCAGCAACGGTTTTACATATTGCACACATGATATTTTAAAATCATCATCCAAAAATTAATTTAAAGTGCCTTTTGAACAAATTAAAAATTTGCCAAACATGGATGCCAAAATCAATCTGTATGATTTGATTCTGTTTTTTTATTTATATTTGAGATAATGTCTTGGATAAGCTATTTTGCAATTTTACAGTCTTAAATTTTTGAGTTTAAAACTTTTTTCAAATGTCAAATTTGCCTTTATTTATGGTATTTATATTTATTATCATTTGTCTTTTATTTAAATGTCAAAGATTAAAATTTCAAATTTGATTTTGTAAACATTACCGTGGGATCTAAATCAATCATTCTCATAATTCCCTTAATATATTATACTAAAAAATGAAATTTATTACAAAACATTCAATTATTATCATAAGCCTCAAATTTACTCCTTAATATATTATACTAAATATGAAATTTATTACAAATATTTTTTCATTTTATTACATTTTTTTTGGCCAAATTTCAATAATATAGCCATTATAACATACACTTATATAGAAATATATATACACACATATACATATAAACTATATCCGATTACCTTTTCAGTTATACGAAAATATAAACTATATCCGACTATAAAATTAAGCAACATACACTTAACAATGGTGATATAAACTATAGCCATTATAACATATACTTATATGGAGATATAACTTATATCTGGCTATAAAGTATATACGATTATATCCCTCTACAATTAACAAACAAAGCAGATAACCTACAAACCTTCCGGTCGGTGACTAGACAATGGTCGGGATAAACAGAGGGAAACAATGGATAGGCGGCCGGAGACGAAGGAGAAGCTAGACGGATTGTTCCGGCGACGAAGAAGAACGGAGACGGCGGCCGAAGACGAAGGAACGCAGACAGAACCATAGAAGAAGAAAAGTCAGAGGATTGAGGTTTTCAAATTTTTTCAATAATGGAGGATTTTGGAGATTTGATATTTTTCACTATTGGAAAGTCTAATTAGGCATAAGGGCATCTCGGTATGGGGTTGGATCATCAGCCCAGGTGATGGAAGGATATATTAGTAAATTGGGTGATAGGTACCATCCTAAATGAGGTTGTTTACGACAAAAATGTAAATTTTATACCATTGTAATTATAGTCTCGAAATAGCCAACTAATCCCTTTATATTTTTTTTTAATTATTTAAGATTCTGCAAGGGATATTTGGATTTGTATCTTGGGATTGTCAAATTGGACTTGGATTGAATTTGGGCCTATATTTATTTGTCTTGATTTGAGTTGACCCAATAATTAGATTAAGTTATGAGTTTCCATGTGAAAGATACTATTTCTATTAGGACTAAATTTATAATTTATGGTCAACACTTCTATTTAATGCAACTTAATAAAAATTTAATTATCTATTTGAATTTTTCATTTTTATTCTAATAAGTTCTAGTTGTTAACATTATTACTTCAATTTTCATACAAAGTTCAAGATTTTTTATTTGATTGTAGAAAAAATAAAAATAGAGCACTGGAAGTTTTTCTCTAGCTAAAAATAAAATCCATCAAATTGTATTTTCTCCATTTTTTATACCAAAAAAGAAAGAGGAAACGAGTTTTGAATTTCAAAATACATATAAAATTTTTGTTTTGTTTTGTAATTTAACTAAAACTTTAAAATGTTTTAAGATTGGGAACAGCTAAGAATAACTTTCATAATAAATCTACTTAATTAAAAAAAAAAACTCATTAAAGAATGAGNTGGAGATCATTTCCGTAATCTCCCTTGGTCAAGGCAGAAGAAGCTATTGAATCACAGTCTGAACAGCTTGCTTTCCACTTTTACAGAAGGTCATCTTTCCAAAAAAAAAAAAAAAGGTATAGAATTAATGGTTAAAATTGTTATATAATTTTGAAACATAATTTTATCGAATAACTTAAAAATGTATATTTTATATATTTATCATTATTTAATTAATCTTTAATTACAAAAATAAAACTAAAAGAGCAAAGGAAAATTGAAAATGTGTGAGTAGAGATTTGACTACCTTAATGTACGGAGTAAATTTATAACTAATCTATGCTCATTTTTAGTATAGTCTTCCAATTTGATGCAAACAAAATAATTTTAATTAGGTTTAAAATATTATTTTGGTCGGTACTATTTTGGTTCCTATACTTTTAAAATGTTTACTTTGTACTTGCATAATAATAGAAACTCTTGACTATAAAGTCATGATTATATGTTTCAAGAAATATATATCTATGTCATTTTAGAAATTGTGATAGAAAAAATGAGATTAAAAAATAAATGATTATATGTTTCAACAAATATATATAGAGTGTGTCATTTTGAAATTGTGATAGAAAAAATGAAATTAAAAATAACATTAAGGGATTAAAATATTAGTTGCTTTTTAAAAGTACATAAATCAAAATGAACGTTTTGAAAATATATGGACTAAAATAAATAGAAATTAAAAGTTATGGACTTATAAAATGAATCAAAACTGAAAATACCTACCAGGACCAAAATAGTATTTTAATCTTTTAATTAATACTAAATGTTTGTTTAAAAGTAAAGGAACGTAAGGTTGGCCAAAGTTATGGGAATTCAAATCTCTAACTTTTCTGTTATGATATTTAACTAGTGAACTATTTTTAGGTTGACATAAATTTTGTGGTCGCTCCATATAATATGATAAAAGGTTTGCTTTTAAAAATAAGTTAATTGACTTTTAACATATGGAAAAATGTCTTCCTCTTTCTTTTCTTTCTCTCTCNGTAATATAGCTTCATTTTATAAAATATTATAAAGATGTATTTTCTTTAAAAATGTAGTCACAAATATAGCATTTATGCCCCTCCCCCACCAAAAAAATGCATTCTTTTATCATTCAAGATTAAGGGATGAAAAGCACCTATATCCTTATTTTTCCAAAAATTACTTTTAATAATTTTTTTTGACTTTTTTTGAAAAGTATTTCTAAATTGTAATAAAATATATATACAGTTGAATTGTACTAATCATAGTACTTTTACCATAGTTAAAAATATATTAAAAAATATCGAGTTTTGAGAGAAAATCATAATTAATGTTGATATGATAGAATTTAAAAAATATAACGATGAGAAGAAAGAAAATTTAAATTTGAGGAATTACATTGTTAGAGGTTAAGAAGTGCAAGGATGAAACATTGAAAATAGAAGAAAGAGAAATTTTGAATGGGTAGGAAGTAGGAACATTTTCTAAAATATTTTACCATATGTATTTTACAAAAATAATTATAATTGCAAATATAATTTTATTTTAACCATTTTAATTGGTTGCTATTATATTATACCACTTAATATCCATCCATCCAATACCCTTCCTTCAACAAACTCATGTGGCGCTGATATACATGTTAATACACAAATTTAAAGCTACACTAAATTGACAGACAAAATAATAGTAAAAGTTGAACCATTATATTACTTTTTTTGAACTTAATTCTAGCAAACTAAGTAGTAATTTTGAAGTTTATATGTGAAAATGAGTGACATTGAAAGCTTAGGGAATTAAAATAGACATTTTTGAAATACTGCAACAAAACAATCATAAAAATTTAGGGACTAAAATAGAACTTAAACTATTTTCAAATAGGTAAATTTTATATTTGTTGATGTAGAAATTTGGCCTTCTGGGATTCCGTCAAATTTACACCAATCTTCTACGAATAAAAGGGATTTGTCGAAACCTGCAAAATAGAATAGCACTAATGACATGTGTGGCGGCTCCAATGCTTAAGTTAGAATCAGAGTAGTCGAGTATGGAGTGTAGGGTATTTCGGCCTACTTCTAGGGTTTGGTTCACCATTTTATTTATAGAAGTCAAATCCTAATCCCTTTAAAAATTATAGAAGTTGAATCATAATCCTTTTAAGATTTACAGAAGTCAATCGCTGATACATTTAGGAGATCTAGAGTTGGGATGTGATGGGTTCGGGCTGGAATACGTGGCGGTTGGGTTGAAACGTCAGAGTTACTCGGTGTCGAGAAGGCGAGGCCTGGTCGGCAGTGGGTCGACTAGGGTTGCCGAGCGTAGCTCCCTTTCCTGGTTAGCACCCTCTCTTGATTCTCCTTCGATCTTCTTTGCCTAACTGGATCTCAGCTTATCTCCGTATAACAATATTGAAGAATTTTCATGGTGTATATAATTAGTATTAAAATTTTGTAAATAGGGACAAAATTAGTTACTTTTTAAAAATACACGGACGCAACTTAAAAATACAAGGAAAAAAATGAATATATAAATTAAAATGACTTAAATCAAAATTACTAACTAATATTTA